TCTTTGTTTTACAAAACAGACGCGGTGAGCCTACATCGACACGTTATATTACAAAATTCATTAAACATTGGCAAACACACTTAGCTATATAGTGTGGCGTATGCGCGTGCGGTACAATGTGATTATGTTTTTCAATACACGCACATATATTTAGTTAGTGATTATTTATATGAAACAAGAATTAATTCAAAATTCCCCCGCGATGACTATAGTTTATTTTTATTTTCTTTTTATTTTGTTACATTAAAGAGTCGTTAGGCCGATGGATCTAAAAGAGGCATCGAATCGAACATCGTGCAGTTGTGTGTTGGGTACGAGCTCGAATGTTACGAGTCATCCTCGTCGTCAACGTCGGGTATAAACGTCGGCCTGCCATGCCGCACAATACCGTGTTCTGCTCATTAGCAGCACGCGCATATAGCCTGGATTATATTGCCCACCTGCGCCCCCGAGTCGATCCACGTGTATCGTGCAGCAGCAGCAGCAGCTCTGTGTGTGCAGCCTGTGACTGTAGTTGCTCCAATATGTATACATAAGTCTATAGGTACACAAACCCACACGGGACTATATATACCTATATAGGTTTATTCACAGTCAGACGCTGCTCAAAACTTTTTTCCTCGACTCCGTATTTAATGCCTCGCGCGAAACGTCGAGACTCGGGGACCTGCATCTGGTTTCTATGAATATGTAACGATCTAACATCTATCCGCCTCACTCGTATAACATGGTACGTGAGCTTTTTAAAATAAGCTCGAGCTCGGTGCACACACGCGCATACACACGCACACATTCGATAAATAACCAAACGTGTTGTTTTTCAAGAGAAGCTAGCTGCCAAACCCGCAGTAAGTAAGTGTATATCCTACGTCGTGTGCATGCGTCTGCAGGGCTACCGCACACATATAGGAGAAAAACACGGGCAGCAGCCGAGGCTCAGCAGGCAGGCGATTATATACCTATATATACATATAATGCGCAGCCTGTGCGAGCCCGAGCTATTATCAAAGAGAGAGAGAGAGAGAGAGAGAGAGAAAAAAATAACGCAGTCATCAGCTGTAGCACATCCATCTGCATCAGGCCTGCGCTGTGTAGTTTGTATTTCCCATAGCGCTCCCGCGTCGAGCTGCTGCTGCGGGCGGCTCTAAAGATAAATGAAACGTAACGAGCCACTCTTGTACGCCAGGAGGCTCCTATTCAACCCGCGCCAACGGTCCGACCCTCCGTGCACAAATACTATATATGTGTACGAACAGGCTGGCAGGCAGGCACGTACACTTGTATATAGCATATATAACACGCACACATTGGATACCCGCACATCCTCTTCTCTTTGCGCCTCGCTCTCTATTTGCCTCTCCGCTTGGCTCTCTCTGTCTCTCTGACTGTGTGCGTGTGTGTGTGTGTGAGTCTGTATAAAAACATATATATACGCGTGCATACATACATATATTTGGATCGTACTTGTTCGGCTCCTAGCGCATACATATAAACGTATATTTCCCCCCTGCAGCACAGTCCAGAAAAGCAACAGCAGAGAGACGTGTACGGGGACACATTACAAGCCATGGCAAAAGTTTCGCCTCTTTCGAGAAATTCAGAATGCTTTGGATTTCCTGTGGACGAGCTCTATTCTCTATATTCCAGAAAGGCTGCGCACCCGAGCTTCTCTACAAGCCCCGTGTATTTATAGGGGGTTGGCAATGAATTTTTAAGCGTTCTAAGGATGGATTTTTAACGAGGCCGTGGCGATTCTTTTTTCCGCCGCCGCTGCTGCTGCTGCTGCTGCCTTCATAAACCAGATATACTCGCTTGGCTTGATTTTGCCAATAATATCCGTCGTCGTCGTCGTCGCGCTCTCTTCCGCTCTATCGAACCAAACACATTTTACGATCTACATTATTATTCTTTTTCTTTTTTATGAAGATTCGAGCAAAAAAAACCTTGTAATCTATGAATGCGCAAGGCTGCGCGCGAAAATCGCACGAGCAATGGGTGTAATGCCGCGATGATTTGTTGCTAAATCGATCAGTGTCTCGGAACACATGCTGCGGCTCGAAAAATGAATCCGCAACTTTATTTTACGTAATAACGATCGAGTATCCTTCTCGCTTCAGGTATTCTTGTTTCTCATTGCGGTTTTTTTTCAAACGATATAAATGAAGCAAAGCAGAGTACTCATATAGTTTTCTAATAAACGATTTTTCACATAGGCTCTTATTACAAAATGCACTGCAAGTATCATTCAAAATTTCTCTAAGGTACTTCAAACAATATTGCATTTAATATTTATCGAACAGTCTCCATATTAAGTACACACTCGTGCCATATATAAGTAAGTATTATTGAATGACGTACATCCCGAAATTTTAATTAGAAGATAAAATCTTACACTGAGAAAACGAGAAAGTAATAATAGCGTACCACAACACGCTAAATCTACATAATAAAGACCGAAATATGTTCAAACGAACTATTTGTAAATGGTTACAGCTGATCCAATTGTTTATGAGCCACGTATCAAAACAGAAGGATTTCGTATGGGTTTAGAAAGATAAGTTCGATCATATTTTCTTTTCAAAGGCGATAACTATTTTTTTTTGGGAACACACCTTTTCTTGTTACGTTGATAGCTTGTCGAGATTGGAGAATTGATACACATTATTTTGTTTTGATTAAGTTGCAGAATATCAGCTCGGTTGCCTCAAAGTGTATCGCAATTATTTACGAATGGCGGCAATACTCTCTGGTTATCAATTCTTATTTTAATTGTCACAGACTGAAAGATTTTATTGAGGATATTATATTACACGCCGCAGTTTTTCATTATATTCCATTTCAGTATTATAATCATAGAATAAATACTTTTAACGAGCATCGGGTTTTGTTAAGTTATAAAAAAGAAAAGCCAGAGGACGTGTACAGTTCGCCAAATGACTACAAGTCCGAGTAAAATCGCCAGACTTTCACAATTTATCCACAAACAGCTTCGAGTCTCGATCCACAACTTCCTCTATACATCAAACATAAAGTAACAATTAAGTCACCGCAATTGGTTTTTAAATTCAACGGTCATAAACTTTATGCCGTGATTTCTACTTTGACCAAAACAATTTGAAATTTTTCAATATTAAAACTGATTGAAATACGTATAACAATAATGATTTTAACTGAAAGTAGTCAAAAATTATCAATCAGACTGTACAAATAGACACTTGTAAAAAGTGGGCCAAATATTTGATCTCCGTTCAGACGAAAAGAAGGACAAAAAGTACTGTGTCTTTTGGGAAAGGTGTCACAGAGGCAAAATATGGCATTTTCCTGTTATTAAATATAGCAATTTTTACTACAGTTGAATAATTTTTTCAATAGAGTATGATAAAAATTATTATATACCATAATAAAAAATCACTCTGGTGTGACTGAAAAACTTTTTCAAGCGAGTACAGCAAATTTTTAATTTTGGCCTCCTCTCCCTGTACGTTTTGAAAATTTTCTCTGAAATTGACATAATGAACGGGATGCTGACTAAGGGAATTTTGCGTTATATGAAGACGCCGCAGAGGCACGTAAGATTGTGTGAAACATAAGCATAAGGAAACTATTACGTGAATGAATCACAGCGTATACGTCTTATTAGACGTATTTTGATTCGATCAATATGAATGAAACGTTATTGGGTATTAAAAAGCTGGAGTCGGTCGTTACTCACAGAGATCAATAAATAGCCTCCATGATCTTTTCCTCATTTTCATTAATACTTCTCCATCTTGTGAAACATTCTTTATCTTTGAAATTAAGATTTTCCCAGAATTTTTTGACTCGCATTCAGTATGTATATCTTTCACTCGAGATATTCTGGGCGTCTCCTCGCCCCGCTCACGATTCGAATCATGGTCAATTGAATGACGACGATGACGATCATATTCATGCTGCACATGTCGCGCTACTCAGAAAGCACAAATCTTTAAATTATTACGATATTATAAGATAGTAGATGCGCCATACATATGCTGAGCTCTCAGGCCTCGCGTGTTCACGTGCATGCATTATATATAGCGTAAGCACGACAGTTGCATATACATGACGTTTAAGACTCGGGTGCATTCATCATCGCAGTCTCTGAACAACAAGGCCTCTTTGGCTCTATTCTATCGTGTGCAGCAGCTCGAGCCAAAAAAAAGAAAAGAAAGAATCGCAAGCTCAGCTCGTTCAATAGCCTATTTCATTATTCGTATGGCACATTCAAAGGCCCAGGAGAGCTCGAGGAGAGAGAGAGAGAGAGAGAGAGAGAGAGAGAGAGAGAGAGAGAGAGAGAGAGAGAGAGGCCTTTTCAGTTGTCATCCTCCAAATTTCACGCTTATCAGCGAGGCAACGAGATGAAGCGCATAATTATACAAAAATAATCTCTCCTCCTCTATCTCTTCTTCAAAATCTCAAGATTAACAACCATCCCTATATTCGCTCTCTGTCTTTCTCTTTAACCACATACCTCCCCTATTCTGGGTAAATGGGCGTACTGCTGCACCATGGTATATAGCCATGATGGTACATTCTCCACCATCCAAAGGGGGAACTCACCGGCGACCGCATGGCTCGCAACGAAGATAGAAGATAAACGAGTTTTATATATGTATATATACGGACACGGCTTTGCCAGCAGCAGACTTCTCTGCCTGCGAGTGGGAGTGTTATTATATATAGCACCACCTTTGGCATTGCACGTGATGCTTCCTCAGCGAGGGTTCCCCCACTATCGGCTACGTCTCTCTTCTCCCACCAATGACGTTGGAGGTTACCCCCACTCCGGACGAGGCCGCCTCGAAGGCTGCACACGGCCGGTCATTCTCCATGTGTGTGTACGTGTATACATTGTAATGCTGCTACATGCGCGAGCGAGAGAGAAATGAAATGTTAACTCTCTGCAGCAGCGGAGGGGAAGTCTAGAGTCGGGCGCAGAGCCGAGGAAAATGCTCAGTTTCGACTCGGCGTTGGCCCCGCCGACAACGATATACACAACTACACACGCACCGAAGCAAGTGAGGCCTCAAAGAGAGACTTCTTTGACCCAAAGTGACAGATCCGTCGTATAATCGATAACCGACGTATACGACCTAGTCAGTCCTCGTTTAAATCAACGACGATTGATTAGTAATAAATAGCAGAAGCCACTACTCGAACGGGCTTTAAAAAAAGGAGCAGCTGGGTCATCTTCGCAAGATCATAACGCTCGACTATTGCGTTAATTCAGCGGAGATTCTCGTTGACTTCTAGCATCATCGAAAATATACAAATTCATCGTCTAAGTGAACTTGTGCATGTGCAATTTTGTGTGTGTGTCATTCCAAGCTTATAATTTGTACAGTGTGTCATATAATAATTGCAAAATCATAAAATAGTGTGATCAAGTGCCACCCTACGTAAAAGAAAAAGAATATATGTAAATCCACTAGAAAAGAAAATTAAGTGAAAATTGATTTCCAAGTAATTTGTGTGCGTCCATGTAATATACATCTATATATTGTAAAATATAAAGGAAGATTATAAAGCAGCAACATACGTATATGCACAGAGAAGAGTGCATTAGTGTTGCTCGGCCAAAAGACAGAAGAAGAAAGTGCTACTGGGTATTTAATAGTCGAAGTGCGCAGGTCTGCGAGTCGTCGCGTATGTAGGCGCCGCGCACGCACACACTCGTACCCTACTCGTATGAAAGCAGTGCATGGCCGCCGCAGACACCGACACAGACAGGCATCCACACACAGATAGGCAGACGTCGCCGCTATTGCTCCTATACTATACACGCATGCTGCTATCTACTCGAGAGCTGATTGGCGATCGCAGTGCGCTTGCACCGAGTTCAAAGTCACTGCAGTAGTATTGGTGTATAGTGGAAGCAGTAGTTGTGATAGTGTTATGCGTGTGCATATACGTACATAGACACACTACACAATCGGAGAGCTCCTAGTATTGGTGAGCCGACGAACAGCATTGACGTCTTTTGCGCCCCAAGATATATAAGAGAGAGACGAGGAGAGAAGTGGGGGACAGACACACACAGCGAAATAGGGAGACCGTGAATCCGGTATTAGTATGGATTGCTGAAATTCCCACTAGTAGCTCTCTGTGCAAAATTTTATTTCGTTTTTCACCCTGCCTGCCTCCCCCAGAGCACAGCTGGGACAATTTTTCGCCTATTCCTCATCTCCAAACTCTCGTCGGCAAAGATCCGATCGCACACGAGCATTAATAAGCAGCGGCAATAAGACTCTTGAGTCGGATATAATTTGAATGAATAGTCAATTGGCCCGACTCAGCCAGAGCTTGCTCGCTCGCTTGCCGAGTGTCAAAATTCGCTGGCTTAAAACGGCTGCTCCTACAGCAGGCGTTAGTACAGACTAGAGGAGAGAGGGAAATTTGCAAAGAGTGCGAGAGAGATGGTACGAACAGAGAGCGAGTAATAATGGCCGCTGTTACCGCTGCCTGCTACCTCGATCCAGTCAGTCTCAGGTCCAAGCTCCTACAAGAGCAGGACTGTATCGTGGGCCTGCAAATACCCACACCCAAATCGATGCACAGCAGCAATTCGGCCTCGCCGCTGCTGTTGCACCAGCAGCAACAGCACCAGCAGCACCAGCAACACCTGCTTCAGCAGCAGCAACAACAACAGCAGCAGCAGCAGACGATACTGCAATCGTCGAGCCAGCAGCACATGACATCGTGCACGACGCCGACGAGCATGGGTGGCCAAATACCCGGTGCTTATCACGGCGGTCTACTGACGCCCTTGTCGAGCTCCGACAGCCCCGACCGGATAAAGCTCATGACGTCGCAGCAGACGCCGAGCACCATGAAGGACTACTCGAAGCCGCTCCACGTCGACTGCAGTGTTGAATACGAGTTGCCCAGTGCCGCGAAACCACCGCCTGGACCCACGGAGCCGCTGCTCATGATCCACCCGTGCTACTATCGCAGAACCGAGGCGGAGACTCGCTCGCCCTTCGTCAACAATCTGCCCAAGAGCAGCCTGTCCTGTCCACCCTCGTCGTCCTCGCTCCTGGCGGCCATGTCGGCCTCGGCCTCTTCCGTGGCTGCCATGCAGAGGAGCCGACGAAGGCAGAACCTGGCCAAGAAGCTCGAGGCAACGATAGCGCCGATAGCAGCTGTATCGGCAGCGGCGCCGGTGTCTGCAATGTCAGTGGCAGCGGTGGCTCCAGCACCTCCACCACCTGCGATAGCCGTGGCAGCGGTAGCCGCGGCTATCAGCGCTAGTCAGGCCAGACAACAGCAGCAGCAGCAGCAGCAGCAGCAACCCCAGATGACGGGGTTGATGGCTGCGGCGAATCCTGTGATGCCATCGGTGGCCCACACGCCCCATCACCAGGTCATTCATCAAAGGAGTGCGGCGCCCTCGCCCTCGTTGGCCTGCATTCAGGACGTGCATGCCTATCAGGCCGCTGTCTCGGCGATGCAACAACAGCAGCAGCAACAACAACAACAACAACAACAACAGCAACAGCAACAGCAGCAGCAACAACAGTGCCAGAAAAAAATGACTCAGTGTCAAGTGCATCAGCAGCAGCAACAACTACAGCAACTGCAACTGCAACAGCTGCAGCCAGAAACAGCCAGACAGCCTCACTTGATGCAGACGACGGCTATGCTGTCCCAACAGCAACAGCAGCAGCAGCAACAAGCAGAAACAACGTTACAGGATATGTCGGACCCTGCCACCGTTGAGAAGCTGTTGAACCTGTCGAGCATGTGCTACAACGGCCCGACGAATACGAGCACACAGCAGCAGCAGCAGCAGCAGCAACAGCAATTGACCGCACAGCAGCACAGGTACAATCAATCGGCGGCTGCAGCAGCTGCGGCAGCGGCGGCGGCGGTAGTCGGTCTGTACCCTGGACAGCAAGCGATTCCAAAGACCGGAGGAAGCCCTCTGCTACATCATCCGTACAGAAGGACACCACCTCGCATGCCCCAGCAGCAGCCGACAATAGCCTCGTCACCGGTGCAAGCCCAGCAAGCCATAATGCCCGAGCTCTACTCGTCGTATCTGCAGCAGATGAGGTCGATCGCCGTTTACGATCCGCAGCAAGCGAATCCGGGCTCGCTATCGTCGCGCAACTCCTCGTCGCTGTCCTCGGCATCGTCCGCGACCGGTCAGTTGGTTTATCGGCAGCAGCATCAGTATCAACTTGCGCATCATCATCACCATCATCATCCGCATCACATGCTATTGCCACAAAGCTAAGCCAGGCCGGGCTTCGTCTGTTGCAGTAAACGCGCATTATTACTCAGGCAACGTCAACTTGAGCAACAGCAGCAGCATCATCAACGACAACAACAACAACAACAACATCAGCCGTACCAACATCCACCAGCAACTCTGCAACTGCGGCAGATCCGGCCCCTACAATCCAAACCCATAAAATGACTGATTTATCTAGGATTAATTTCGTCGATAGCAGCAGCGTTCGTCGTTATCGTCGTCTCGAGCGTATTCCACGTAATCTTCGAATTCTTCGCACCGGCAGAAGAAACGTCGTGAAAGGACGAGGCTCTCTACCCGTGGTATGTGAATGTGTTTCGTCGTCTTCGTCGTTAAAATTTCGATGGAATAATTGTGTTTAGTCGTTTGGCAATTTTGTTGTTTATATTGAAATTGGCCATATAATCCACGTAATTGTGCGCGAAGCTTAACTTCAAAAGTATTATTGTTATCGTAATTATTTCTCCTGTATATAATATTATTTATTAATCAGAGTGATAAATGTGCAGTTCGTTTCGAAATGAGTTTAATCCAACGAGTGAAGTAAAAAAAGGAAAATATTTGCCGGCGGAAAGTTGAAAACTCGAAGGAGAGAGAAAAAAATCATCAAGTGAGTGTGATTTGAAAAAGATCAAAAAAGATCTATTGTGCTCTGTGTCGTATGCGTGTACGTATGCGTACATCGACAGTGTGCCGAGAAGCTCTGAAGCTTTTTTCATCTCAACCAGGTTTTTTGTTTTATACACGTGCAACAAATGCAAAGTTACGTAAAAAAAGAGCATCTCGTCGGTAACGATAACGGCAACATCAAAAAATCGTTGATCACGTTTTTCGTGCGTGTGAATGTGTGTGTGTATGTGTATGTGCGTGTATTATTTTGCGCGATCGGTACAACCGATAAAAATGCTATCATCCAAGCCTTAGATGTGCATCAGCCACGCCAAGAGCGAACACAATGTAATATACCAAATCCTAGACGCATATAGTATAGGTAGTGAATGAACAAAAAATTGCTTTTCTTCGCATATAAGCGCGCGGCGGGTACCCGCAAGTAACTCTCTCTCTCTGTATATATCTCTCTGCGGATATATATACACACGCACACAGTTACAATGTGTTGCTGCTTGGCATTATTCGTAACGTAATGTATTCTCTATACCCTATGCGCGTACGAAATTTCCACGTATAATCAATTCGCCTCGTTGTACGGTAATTACCACGCATACACGTAAAAGCGCACGTACATGCGAACTCGCGTACAGACACACAGACGCACTCACACAGACATTATATAGACACGCAGGCCCAGACACTCACATATATTGCGAGTCATCATCGCCGTGCATACACATACACAATACACAAGAGAGCCATGGCAAGCTGGAGTCGAGTCTCTTCTTTTCCTTTGCTGAGCTGCTTCACTCGTGTGTGTGTGTGCAGCTCGAGAGATGTGAAATAACCTGTGTGAATAATATACGCGTTTTTTTCTCGTCTCTTTCCTTTAATTTTTTTTCTTTTTTTTTTTTTTTGTTATTAGCCATGCGCTCGTGAATATTCTTCTTTGTATAAAAGCCTGCGGAATTGAGTCTTTGTACATCGTATATACACTTACGCTGTAATGTAATAATAAGCGTAGAAAAAAAGGGGTGGGACGACGAGCTCTACCATGAGGGAGAATTAATGTTTTTCTGAAATTCACGCATTTTAAGCGAAAGTCCATAATTTGCTCGGCTCGAAATCGATGAGTATTTTAAATGAGAAAAAATAAAGGAGGGATCCGAGAATGCACGCGAGAGGTCATGGCGTATTTGCACGTATAGACAAACGTGAAAAAAGCTCCCAACAGCAGCTTGGCAAGTCTCCCTTTTTCTTGGTGGACTCCACCCCTTGCGCTAGATCTTCCAAATACTACACGACGACAACCTACTATTATAATAATACTAATGACGCTCTATATTTTACATATATATTCGTATGCATACTACACACTATATGTAGGTACGCATGACACATACACACACTCAACACACAAAAGAAAGTATGCATGAGAATATAAATTCGAGTGTACGTAAACGCATGTACTAAATGATTTTATACATAACAAAATACGAAGCGCTGCCAAAACGTATGAAAAAGCAATTTTGGGTATTGTATATATCGTGTACGAGAAAAAGCAAGCACGGATCGTATTTAATGATTCCAGTATATTTTAATGCATATGAGCAGTCTGATATTGAATTCTGCAGATGTCAAGATGACCAAACATTTTTCTGCATCAGAGGTCATGAGAATGTTTTTATCAAAATCTTTTCGAAAAAACTTAGTCTGATATGTCATTCTTAAAATTCTTTCATTGCGTTTGCATCATTTTCAAAAGCTGATTTTTCCAATTTCATTTAGCTGAGTGAAGAAAATTTCGCGTGTTTGACCCGTGCTTTATGTAAATCGCGTTACATAAGCTTCTTGTACAAAGCGATGCAACCGTTGCATGATTTGGGTATACGTCTGCTTGATTTTGCTTTTTATGTTATCGATGTATACTAAGCACGCTTGGAATCGGGTCCACTTAAATAATTTAACGCAAATTATTTTTTCCTTACGACTGATTCAGATCGAATGAGCGCGTGTTTAAGTGTAAATAAGTAAAAACTCGAAAGGTATTGACGAGGCACGATTTTTTCGATCTTGACACATATTGTATAGAGTAAGGTAGTAGTAAATGAAAGAAAAAAAATACATCATGTAACCAAAAGAAAAAAAAGTCGAATAATACAATAATAGCCTGTAGTGTCGGAGTTTTTAACAATAAAAAAACAAGTAATCGAAGAAAAAACGTGTATGTCGAAATACATTCGGCTTCGTGGACTGATCACCGTATAATAATAAACGTTAGTTTACATTACATTCGATGACAATTAACTCATTCATTGAAATAATAACAATAGCAATGATATCAATGACAGAAAATAATAATAATGATAAACGCGAGAGGAAAACGATAGCGGCCTTAGTTCCTATAAACGCATTTTTGTCGATGTGAATTGTAACGAACAAGTACGTGAATAATAATAGTAATAATAATATCGATATTTAAAAATAACAATAATAATTAAAATAATAATAATAAATACGCTAAGCTAAACGCTACTACATTATTGTACGAGTGAGACAAAGTAAATTGCGATTTTATTGCATTTTTTTGTACATCGCGGAAAAATTATTATTACTATTATTTTATGACAAAAGACTCGTTGCGAAGCGTGCGAAGATTGTATGAGCGTTGAAAAGTAAAAAAGAAAAAAATGAATGAAAAAAAAGAAAAATTCCAAGGAATGAAACGAATCTTAGACTGCCTATAGATAAGAAACTCCTAGCGAGCCGTTGCTTTGAAATATTTATACAAAAATTGCATGCGAAAGACATACGTTACATTGATAGTTCAAAACGACTTTGCTGCACAAGCAAATTTTTTCGATAAAACTCGTTGCTACGATACCTACGATGTAGAATAAATGTCTGTGTTTACAACAAAACAAAATTCACGTATTTTTCTGTATACAAAAAAAAGACAAAAGTCGTATTACCACGAGAGAGGAGTTTACACTAATATACACGCTTGTGACTAATGATTTAACAAAGCATCTGCGATTAGAGATGTCGAATGTATCGTGAGTGAGCGAGACTGTAGTTGAAACAATTCAATATAGCTGTATAATATTTAAAAATTGTAAATATTTAATGAAATATAGGATTGATGGCGCTGAAATAATGATCGATCAAAATGACTTTTGACGTGCATCCCGTGTGAAATGTAAAAAAAGAAGCGATATATTTATAAATAACTTGACCTCTATGAGGGATGAAACAAATGTGATCTCTAAGAATAAAGAATAAACAATTGTACAGTAACGAAATAAAAAATTAGCTAGGTACTGTAGATATTCCGTAGTATGTATAAAAAAAATATAAAAATCGAGTGTGATAATCAACAGGTAATTGTAAAAAATTTTACGCAATGCTATAAGAGGCCCCACAAACGAGCTCAAGTGGTTCTGATGATAATACGCTAATTATTATTATTCGTAATCATTGTCCGTAAAAAAGAATGGCGCGAATGGTGTTACTAGAAATTGTATTAGATTCTTTGTAAATAGCCGAAAAAAACTCGAAACTACATAATAATAATGGTATATCGATTATTACCAATAGAAAACAAATATAAGCTGATACGAAATAACAAGCATGTTGTTTTCTTTTCTTCTTTTTTTGTAAAAAAAATAAAAACAAAAAACAAAAAAACATAAAAAAACCAATTGAATAAAAAACTATTATAAAATTACGAAGCAGCCTTGTTCGTCGTAATATATTATTGATTACAAGCAAACAAAAAATGTGTATAATACAATTGTAAACCCGTTATCATATTATATATCAATCATGGATAATAACCCCGAAAAAATACCGCTTAGATATAATACGCGACAATTAAATTAATAATATTTTTTTTTATTATCATTTGGTTCATTAACAATTGTCAGGATATTATATTCTCACGTTCTTGTCCATGTGCGTATATGATGTTACACCTAAAATAATATGATGACAAAATCATGCGTGCTGCATCAGTGTATGTATGTGAGTATAACAGATACGATACATATAAAAGTGCGTACATAATGTGTATTTCGCACGTGCTCGCACACGCATGTATACAGACATCCATAATATATATATAAATATATATTGTAATCTTGTCGACGTATAATGTTCATATATCTTTTCAAGTCTCGGATCGATGAGATAAAAAAGACTTACAAGTAAAACATACGACCCACACACACACACACACATACACACACTACACAATCGCATGAAATTTAAAAGAAACAACAATTAATTGTTTACACTATGAATTACACACTCGTATGATGCTTCGTTTTTTCGAAACTGTTAAACATTTCAAAGAATAAAAACGAAAAGATACTTTTCTAAGAGGAAGTCTTAAACCACACATTGCTCTTTTATTTCAAGTATATGTATATAACAACGTGCATGTCTTTTTCGTCATCCTATATAAACCTCTCCTTGAACATGTACCGTTCTCGAGAATTAAATACGCGCTCTTGGTTATAATTAATTATAATATTCACATTTAGCTGCAGCTGGGATTAGGGTGAGAGAAAAGTAAGCATAGAGTATTATAATATGCTGTAGCCATATACTATATACGCTACGTCGAGAGAGAAAAAGAGGATAGAGGCTCGAAAAAGTGCCTGAGTGAGTACATTCCATTTCGTATACACGTTTAAAAGCAAACCGGAAATTTTAGCCCTTTTGGACGAGTGAAGGAGAGATTGAGAGAAAAGAGGAGAAAGAAATGGCGAGAGGGAGAGAGCGTAAAGAAAAAAGCCTTTATCACGCAAGCGAAACATTTGATTTTTCATTGCATGTTAGTGCTTGGGTGTGCGCTGCATAGAGAGCGAACGTAAGTATTAACACAAGCGCGTTCAGGAAGTAAGGCGAAATTTTTTTATCGCCTCTTACATCCTCTATACATGTTCCACATTAGACAAGGTAAAGTAAAAAAAAAAAAAAAAAGAAAAGGAAAAAACATTTTTACGGTGCTACGCCGGGGCTGCGCGCCGTGTTTTCGACACAACACAACGGCAAACGCTGTAGCGGCAGCAGCAACAGCAACAATGATAATGATAATTTGTTTAATCAATTTGATAAGACTGGCAAGTTTCGAAACGAACGATTAACATGGCTCGAAACGAAGGCAGTTTCCTTTGATAATTACCATTACGGAGCGCTGAGGCGGCAGTTCTCTGTGCCTGTGTGTTCTCTATACTATAGCTAACTTGTATATCCTACTACTTGTACTACTATTATATGTACATGGCTCGGGTCTCTCCTGTGAGGTCCGCTCCTTGGGCGCACTATGTAACCATAGTAATCACAGGCGTATCGGCTTTTTATGTTTTTCCGCGTCATCGTGATCCTGTATACTATATAGCTCATCATTGTCGTCGTCGTCGTAGTCGATCAATGATTGGCACGATATTATACGTCATCCCCTCGTGCGCAGCCGAGGCTTCAATTTTCATTGTTCCGATCCATTTACACGCTCGTAAATAATGTAATGTATATTATATATACGCGGCAGCTCGCTCGGCTTGGTCATTAAAAATTCGGCTCAATTTTCTTTCTCACTCCCGACTCCGAATTTATACACCAAGTGCAAATTCTCTCGGACGTTTCTCGACGCTTGTACATACATTATAAGTACTAGTTGTGTGTGTACAGCCTTTCCCTCTCGCCGGACATTCCCACAGACTTGCCAAGAGGCTCCAAGCTCTTGGCTGAATTTCGCCTCTCTCTCTCTCTTCTCTCTCTACTCCTCGAGTTCGAATCCAGCGCAAGTATAATATAATACGATAATGTTTTCTTTGGGATCCGTTTTCAATCTACGTAGAGACTCTGCTATACTTCAAATTTTAGGGTTTTCGGTTTTTTACAGCTAAATTAAAAAAAAATCAAATAATCATTGTGGATTAACATTTAATTATATTTAAAAAAATGGGTTTAAATGCCTTAAAACAACAATTTTTTATTTTCAAGATCTTATTTGAGAGCGGATACAGTTTCGAACCAAGATCATAAAAAGTATACTTACTACTTTCATATATAATTTGGTCAAGATTTAGCGTACCAGAAAAGGGTGACACCCCATTCAAATCTAGAAAACAATTCTACTTTTAGAAATCAGATCATCTCTAAATGGCTATATGACCGTTGTTTTCAAACCAATTTTGAATTTGAATGCACAATTTGAAAGGTAATGAACAAACCTTTTAAATGGAACCACATTAAAGTCGATTCATCAAGTCAGTCGCTCTCTATGTTCGTTTAAAAAATGATAATTTTTTGATTTTTTATCTATTGCAATGAAATTTCAAAAGTACGGTAGTTACAAATGTCAAGCTATACAAGCAATAAAAAAAAGTTGGATCAATAGGAACAAAGAAGCAGTTATGGAGGCTGAGATAAAACGGATAAAAAATACGTAAAAATGCCTATTCTTAGACCTTTAAAAAGCCCCATTTTGAACCCATGAACATAATCGATAGCTGACATTTTCACTGAAGGCCATTTTGATCAGCCGAAAAGATATACTGATTTCTGAGGCAGCTCCGAAGAATGTCCTTCTCCCCTTCAAAACTTACCGAAAAGTAAAAAAATACTCATCTACGTAGAGTAAAACGATCAGACTCGCATTAGATTAAGTCGAACGAGCTCTCGTCTAAGGAGGCTCGTATCATTTTTTCAGCAGCTCCTTTGAAACGCAAAGTAGCAGCAGCAGCACCCATTGGTCACATTGCGCAGTAGTGCCCGGCTCATTTGCATGCAGCACGGTCAGCAGCGGGAGCCATGCATGAGGCAACAGCAGCAGCAGCAGCTCGGCAGTCTCTCTCGGTGGCGGTGTGCGGCACGGTATATAGCCTCCTCGCAGAGAAGCGGAGGGGAAGGGGAGAGGAACAGGTGGAGAACGGGAGATGGCTCTGTATTTCACCGAAAGGCTTCCTCTCTTTCCTACGGGTATTGCGAGTGAGAGAGAAAAAGAGAGAAAGAGTGTGTGTGTAGCAAGAGTAGGTATGTATGTATATAGGTATAGAGCCAAAAGAGTATAGGAGGCTTGGGAGCCGAAATACCTTTTATAGATTATCAAGGGAGTTTCTCGTTCCTTGGCTCGATCTCGAGAGCTCGCTGCTCCTCGAACGCTGGCCTCTCTGCTATATATATTAAAAGCGTAGGCTCGCTCCGCTGCCTGCTTACAGGCAACATGAAAATGGCTGGGTGCCACGCCGCGTTCTCTCTGCGCCCTGGGCCTTGCTGATTTATGAAGATACACGGAGCTAGCTAGCTGTTATATAGCTACGCAGCAGCAGCGGGCAGTAACGCGATCGTCTCTGCCGGATAAGCCTTGCGCGTCGGCATTATTATATATTTATGTATGCGTAATACATTTTAATTTTCACCTTGACTCTCGGAATGCGCTGCAAAATCGGAGCTGCTCTCTCTCTCTCTCTCTCTCTCTCTGGGAAAGCCTAACTCATTGTTTAACGAGATGATCGCAGCTCACAGCATGAAGCAAGGAGCGCAGCGTCTCTGCGTCTTGTAATTATATACGGCAAAATGCAGAGCACGTACAATATAGATCGAAGGGACGAATTTGAGCTATACTTGGACTGGACGGTCATTTTCATATGTGTACGGTGAGAGGAGGGCAAGTCTGAGTGCTACTTGGAACCGCGTCGATTATTCGCAATAGAGGCTGAAAATTTTTAGTACGTATGCCTCGAGATATGCAACGAGAGCGATCGATTCAACAGAGCAAGAGGCAGCGAGAGAAGATAAAAATTTATGAGCAATTACCATCACGTGAATCCTTAATTATCATAAATAAAAGTTGTACGAAATATAAGAGACGCGAGAGAAGAGAAAAAAAATAAGACGCCTCGAGACGCGCCTCATTAATTATCAGCTGCAGCAGCAGCAGCAGCAGCAGCAGCGCCTTTTCATGTTCCCCTACCATATGTACTTCTCGCGACGAGGAACGAGCCCATCGTATACGCTACGAAACTGCACACTATACGCTATATACTCCTCCTCGCGATCATCGTCTGCGTGCGAAACTTCTATATAGGTGCATGTTCGCGCCTACACGCGTAAAACAGCTCACGATATTATATATCGTCGAGCTCGCAGCTCTCGCGCGTCTTCCGCGTTTCTTCTCCTCGCGCCTTATCAGTCTCTCGAGCCTTGAGACGGCGCAGAGTAAGCAGAGGTACATGCACGACGACGACGACGACGTGCAAGCGATGCATTTTCGGGGCCCCGAGATAAGACCGAGACTTTCTCGGCTCTTACTATTGCTCGTCAACGAGCTGTTCGCTCTCTCTCTCTCTCGGACTCGAGCCAATCCGGGCTAAAATCAATATGCACCCGATGGCACACAGTCAGCCGAATCGGGTTTTTTCCCTCGCACACGTGCATTGTGTGCCGTCGTTGCGCTGCTGCGATTTGAAAATTTTTACAGCTCGCTCGACGACAGTCTCGCGCGGCAGTTACTTACTCTCGACAAGCGCATATTAGAAAGAATAATATTTGCACAATGGCGCCTTTCGCTTTTTAGCACCTAGAGCTCAGTGCGTTCATTTTTCCACTCTCTAAAGAGCACAAATGCGAGTATTGTGCTCATGCGAGCATAGTGGAAGCTCTGCCAGCTTAGCTATATCGAGTCTCGCTTGTATGTGTGCAATGCGTGTGGTGGTGCTGCTGCGTGTTGTATTTCTAGCAACTCGGAGGAACAAAAAAGAGAAATTACTTTTAAAAAACGGCTTTGCTGGGATTTTTTTTCACGTACTCTTTCTCTTGGTGCGCGCACACGAAAAAAAGCCTTTTTAGTACGTACGTTATGTGAGTGTGGTCGGCATTATAATATATCGATTTTCGTCGACAAAGCCCGACGCGTCTATAGGTATATTTCAATTGGCATGAGTCTGTCATGAGCTCTTACGTGCGCGCGAAAGGCTCGTCACGGTAGCGGCGACTACCGCGAGAAATAATGTACATCCGACAAGCCCGCGACGAGTCATTTAACGAAACGAGCACAGTACTTTTTTGTATTTCTTTTCTCTCGCTCAGTCTACGGATGATCAATTATTTTGTCTCGACGGGGAAATTCGTCAAATGACATTGCTCAAGCTGCTGCTGCTACACTTATGCATTCGTCATTTAAATGAAAATAGACAATTTTTTGTCAAGCTCGGCACAAAATTCGTCCAAGGTACATGTGATATATAGCATATTGTCTCATTGGCACTCGGACTCGGCACGCAAAATTATTCCACGAGGGACGCGTACAGCTAGCTACGAATATAACGACGTTTAACAAAAAATTTTTCTTTTGTACATTTATATAATTAGTTTGTCGTTTGCGGGCTCTCT